TTCTGGAATAGTAGATTGATGGAGAATGTGTGGTTGAAAAAAAAAGGAAAAGTTATTAATGTGATGGAAAATATTATTATATTGAAGAATGTGTGGTTGAAAATGAGTAGAAGAATGAGAACGAAAATTTTAATGTGTACCAAACAGGGGTTAAATATGTTTATACTTTATTGTATAATACTACAATAACAAATTTATGGTTTCTAATTGATTCATTTCGTGCTCTACCAATTTCCACATTTAGCCCATGTTTGCTTCAAATTGTTTTAACATAAAAATCAATTTTTTTACCCTTTTTTAATTAAAACATTGGGGCCCACTATGAGAGAAAGAGGTGAAAGATTGCAGCTACATTACTGTAGCAGTTTTAGGAATTCTTCTTAAAAGTGGAAACAAACAGGGCCTTAACTTATTGTATTACATTACATTATTGTAGATTGTGTGAAAATAATCTAATAATCTTATTTTATTATAATAATTTACATTCGAAAATTTATTAATTATATAAAAAAGACACCTAATATTATGATGATCACGCGACAAGATATACAATATACAATCCGTTTGGATGATCTAACCTAGGGTGGGCACGATGAATGGTTGGTTTAATTTTCGGGCCAACTTGTAATCGAACTGAATATCTCAATTTCTTGAATCGCCAACATAAATTGGCCCGAATTTGGATATATATTTTAGTCAATCCAAACTAAACGTGCTCCATTCGGATGATTTAGTTGATTATTTGATTTTGCTTAGCAAAATTCTCATTTTCATTTTGATTCTGGAGCACTATCGTATCCGCACACGACACACAAAATTATATTCTGAAATGTTACCTGAGAATTGCTTAAATATCCAAATAATATTGTAATTTAATATTGCAAAATGAATAAATTTTTCTGCTCTCACAAATAGAAGACGAAAATATAAGATAATCAATGAAAGATTGAGAATAAAAATGTAACAAAAAATAGTTAGAATATAAGTACAATAATAAATAAAGGTGGAGGACCTTTAGTATAATTACCT